CTTTAAGGTCCCTTCCAGCCCAAACCATTTTGCGATTCCATAAAATGCAGCTTACCTGGGGCTGAGAGGTGCCTGTATAAAGGTGTTTCAGATGGGAGCTACAAGATAAGGGGTTTATTTCCCTGTTTCTAGATCATAAATGGCTTACGCAGATTTGAGGTGCAGTATCAAGGAGATACTGAGCTCCAGCCCATCCGAAGCTACGAAAACGCCACTCTTGTCCGCCTCCTGTTTCGTTTATCCTCAGTGCTTAACGAAAGGGTAGGTACAGCACTGCCTCCTCCTGTATTTTCCATGGCAAATTTCTGTTCTTCGCTGCACTTGCACACATACAACACTCAGCTTGTTCTTGCTGTGTCTCCTTTAGTCTGGATGGGTATCAGGCCTGCTTCTCTACCTGTAGTTCTGCTTTGCCTACACAAAACATTAATAAAAAGCATTTTAAATACTCCGTTGTTCATCAAGCATAAAGAATGTATCATCCAGAATGAATATTTCCAAAACAGGAAAAGCAAATCTTTTTTTTCCTATATGTATGATATAGATACAAGGCAAGTCTGCACTAAAGCAGTTGACTGTTTAAAAGTGCATTTTGATTTCCCCCCCTCCTATAATGATCCTATAAATGGAGAAAATTGTAAAATAAGTTACACTTAACTTTATGACAGTAGTTGCAGCAGCATACTCACATTTAAACTTTTCTTACCTCAGTTTGCTGATCAGATGGACGTGCTTTGCTCTAGAGAAGATTTTGTTGGCAGACTTTGTCGCTATCATCTTACCAACCCCCACCTCGTACAGAAAATCAGGTATAGTCCCGTGGTGAAGGACAGAACAAGCCAGAACTGGGGACCAAGAATCAGCCTGAGGTTTCTGGCTAGCTACAGGACTCTCATTTCCTTGCTGATGATCTACTTCATTGCATCCTGGTTTTACATTGGGCCACTGGGCTGCACATTCATTATCCTGATTGGATATTTTCTTTATGCTGTAATAATGACTTTTTTCTGTGAAGGATGGAAACCACATGAACACTAATTTCCTTCTCTTGGCTTACACTTGTAAAAATAAATGTTTTAAGGATTCAATGACTAGGAAGAACTGATATGAGAATTCAAACATTTTAAAGTATTTTTTAATATTAAAGTTAATTGAGTTTTATAAACAATTATGTGGTCTTGTGGAGTGGAGATAATGTAAATTTTATTTTTATAAAAGTGCTCCTATAGAATCTGGTGAATGCCTTTTTTTTTTTTTTTTTTTTTTTTGAAAGGGGAAGAATGAGCCATCAGTATATACCAAAGTGAACCATGCCAGATGTAGAAACATTTTTGATTCAGCAATAACTGCATTGAAGCCTCTTGCACTGTTCTAAACTAAGGATGAGCTGTAGGACTCACTCATGATGCTCACAGGCAGAGCAGTTACAAAGGCAACAGAAACAGCAGTGCACCAAGACATTTATAGGAAGTTGCACTGATAGGAAAAAACCCGAACAAACAGAAGAGGGACAAGACAAGTGGCATCTCAGAGCCCAGGGTTGGGCTTAAACCTCCTCTTCCCTGCCTGGGGTCTTCCCAGCCCAGGCAGGTTTATGCCTTCTTCCTCACCAACCACTTCTCATGTGTTTGCACCTCTTCTGGAGCCACTGTGCTCAGCAGGGTATTAACACTTGCTTTTAAAAACAGAAGTCACTGCTGTGTTTCCTCTCTAACCTTACCCTAACTAACCTGGCAGTTTTGGCCAGCAGGTAGCTGCATTCTTCTCTTGGAGTTCAACACATACTTTGTTGTCCTCTCCCGACATGGCAAGAAATCCCCTTTTGCTCCATCAAAGCTTAAGGAATCCCTCCGTTCCCATCTCAAGCAGCTGCGCTGCAGCAGCAGCGATACTACTGTAAAATGTCCAGGGCTGGGCAGAGCAGTGAAACCATCTACTAAACAAACAGGAGAGCACCCACCCGTGTGCGGTGACCGCACTCGTGGCAGCACCGGACTGGTTCCACACCGGGCGTCATCGCTGCCCAGCTCTGCCACGCTGCTGCCCCAGGCAGGGCCCCAGCTGACACCGCTGGGACAGGGTGAGGGAGCTGCCCGTAGCCCCCACGCCCACCTCCCCAAACCCCCAGCTGCTGGGGGGGCCCTGGGGCAGCGCGGTGTGGGCGGGCAGCCGAGCAGAGCGCTGCCTCCCGGCGAGTGACCGCAACAGGACCACGATGGTGGAACTGGGGAGGGGGATGGCAGCAGCTGCTCCTCAGCAGCACCTGTCGCTCTGCAAGCTTCCTTAGGTGACACTATTTGGAAAAAAATTATACGTATTTTCCCACTCTATTACAGATCTTCATTAATCTCATTATTCATTAAACTCATAATGAATCAGGGACTGCTACTAGGAGTTATGCCACATTTTCCTGTTGCTGCAGACAGGATGAATGAAAAGCTGATCAGACATCACCCATTACCTTGTCATCAATACTCGCAGCTGGAAGATGGAGCTGCAAGGAAGTCTTGAAAACCTGTCACCTTTTCTTGCAGTGTAGCTAGACAAAGCAAAAATTATGTGGGGTTTTTTTTTTTTTTTCCAAAGTTCTAGAGAGTACGGGAGTCCCAGGTTACCACCTCCCAGGTCATGGGGTTTTGTTTGGGTTTTTGTTTTGTTTTTTATTACAAGCTCTGTTGTTAGTAATACGAGAATCTGAAATTGTGAAACACAAACCAAACACAATGCTGAGAATGCTCGGGGGGGGGAAGTATTTAACATTACAGTGGTAGAAATATTTAGCGTTGTCCTCTAGAAGCAAGTCTATATGCTCTCTAGCATATGCTACTGTATAAAAGGTCAACTCTTTTTTTTTTTTAAATGAACTCATGTGCATCTCCATGTTAGATATCTTCATAGATACCTACCCCAGCTTATCTCACAATACTTACCCCCCCATGATGACACAGGAGTCAAACTACAGAGTTCCTCCACGAGAGGTGCTTCTGGAACACATGCAGCAATCAAAAAAAAAAAATCCATCCCTCATCAAGGGGCGGGGGGGATCTCAGTCAAGTATCTTACTAACATGGCACGACCTAGGGTACTAAACAATAAAAAGCCGGTGTTTTCACTGTCTACTTTGTGATTTCGAAACATTCTTATTTCCCTGGGATGAGGCGGCCCCATTTCCCCCCCCAGCCTGTTCCTGCCCTCAGAGCATGGCAAACAGCAGGCACAGCTGCGTCTGTACTTCTGTCCCCGTGCTCACTCTCACCCTTCCCGCAATTTCCATCCTCTGAGCTACTTCCTCCATTAACACTAGAAGTAGCTCAAGTGACCATCATCCAAAGGACACAACAGAACCAGGTTCTACGGATCAACGTGGGAAGAGCAGTATAACGTTAGCATCCAACACAGGAATAATAATAAATTTATTACAATAGAAACGAACAGATAATGCATTAGTTCATGTACAAAATACTCATAGCATTCTGCTGCCTCAATCAGTGCTTACTAAGTACCCACATTTAAAAAACATCCTAGGACTGATGACACCACACAGATTTACAAAGGTCATAGCAATCTGACACTACTGTAAGAGAGCCCAGCTACTCTTTAAGGTTTGCTGCACAATACAGGGAGATGGAGCAGGATGTAATGGGAACATCTGAAACTTGAAATTCTTCTGCACCAGGAAATTAAGAGTGACCAACTTATAAGCAGGGGAAAAATAAAACAATCACACTACACATGGAATTAGTGACTCATGGCAAACGTTTTCGTTAGCAGTGCCCAACAATAAGGCAGCCGATGACTGGCTTTAGTGCCCATCATTGCTCAAGGCACAAAATATTAGTTGTCAGTTCTGCTCCTGAGCCATGGTCGTTTTTTCCTTTTCTTTTTAAACAAACTGATGTAACACAGAAGCATTTTCACTCACTGCATCAACAGCCAAAGGAAGCCAGATGCCTCAGAGAGACTCGGTAAAAGAAGAAACGTAGACAAGACCAAAGGAAGCCAGATGCCTCAGAGACTCGGTAAAAGAAGAAACGTAGACAAGCCTGCTGCATCGATGTGTGTTACTAGGGCGTTACACTGCTGGGGTTTTCTCCTCCACCTTCACGTACACATTTACTGAGTTTACAGGGGAAGTCAATGTGCACATCAGTTTATCTTCTTCCTCATCACCTCGCTCTTTTGGAGAAACATGTGGTCCATGCTAACCAAAAAATTGTTTATACAAAGTTGTGTTTAAAATAAGATACAAAATACTTTTTTTTTTCCCCCGCTCTGTTTGGTTCCCCACCCCCAAGTACAATTATCCAGATTTAGCTCACGTATTTGAGGGATGCCTTAAAAAGCTGTAATTATTCCTCTCTGGGCAAAGCTAATAGGCAAAAAGATTCCTGCAACCACTGAGAAGTTTGCAAGCACATTCTAGTTGCAGCTAATTTATTTCTGGGGCAGTATCAAGTCACAAAACATACAGTGTGAAAGGAAAACTGGCACTGAGCAAACTTTGAAGCAAATTAGGACATTCTCTCTCTACTCCCTCTTATACAAGACTCCCTGATGGAAGTCCACAAATAATTTCTTCTCTAAGAAGACAATAAAAACTCATCCTAATACAGTCTCAAGAACCATATATACACACATTTTGTTTATTTGAAAATGCTGGCAAAAGTCCACAGAGGCAGAAGATAAAGGGCACGAAAGCTAAGTCTAACATCAGGTTCTCTACTGAACCTGACACCTAGAAACAAAACAACATAAGGCTTCTTTCTTCTGAAGTACCCTCCCCAAAATGCCTGTGATTTTCCAGTGGCATGTGGAAGAGGCCAGCTGTTGAGATCTTCCTTCCTTCTTCGCGATTTGCAAAGTGAGATGTTACGCAGCAGAGAGGCAGGCCTGACGAATGCTTTGTGCCCAGGTGTTTAAGAGTGCCGTCACCGAATGCTTGTCTGGAAGCTGCAACAGTTTTGAAGTCATGTACCGATACACCGACTGCAAAAAGGGGTTGGCTGCTGGAAAAAATACAATAACAGATAAACGGATATTATAATAAAAATAAAATAAATAAAATTTTAAAACATTTTAAATTTTTATTTTAATGTTTTGTTTTTATTTTATTATTTATTTACTAAATTTATTTTTGAATTTAATTTTAATAATATTACTATATTAGGCATAAACATTTCCCCACTATTACCACATACACATGCCCACAAATGTCACGCTAGCACCCTCGTACCGTACTGTCTAGGGTTTTTTATCCACAGAGGGCTCTGATCTGGATAGTCCGCTGGAACACTGAGCTGTAGCGGTGGGACATTTGGAAGATTCTTGTCATCTAGAATGCAAACACACTTTCCATCAGAACAAAGCATTCCTTGGTGACAGAGGGGTTTTTTTTTTGTCCACAATTCAGCTTGGTTTCTAGCCTCTGAACCCCAAGGAGGAACCAGGCCGTACATCCCCATTTTTATTGGAAGGCAAACTCATTGCTCACGTTAATAACACTCTCAAATTCTTGGAAGAAAAGCCTGGAAACAGAGCTCCATCTCTTACACATTTCTGCACCTTGTGAATCTCACCATTTCATCAGCTGAACTTCACTAAGTTAGAGACCTCATTTTTGAAAATTAAGTACCTTATATAATAATATTCAGGGCAAAAATGGTTCAGATTTCTCAAATGAAGGGAAGGAGGAAAGAATCTACTTTCCCCATTGGAATCCAAGAGCAAAACAAGTTAAGAGACTACAACATGAAAAAAAAAAAATGCAGTCTGAATTTCTTTCTTGAACGTACACCATTGTCAGCGATCACGAGGACAAACTGAAACAGACCTTCCCAAAAATTAACATTTCTCTAGCTCTGTCCTAGTTGTTGCATGCAGAACAATTCTCACACCTCAGTATAGGTCAAATCAGGAATCAAGATTGTAGCTAGCAACAAGTAATTTTCTAGACACTAGAGGAGATTGCCAACTGCAACGTCAGTGCAAGAAAGGATCGGTGTGAATGAAATCTCCAGCCGCACCCTGAAGCGGGCTGTGCAGAATGTCATGATTAAGCAGTGCTACGAACCTGGTCAAGTACAGACCATGCAGAAGTCACAGGCTGGCAAGACTCAAAACTGTTAGCGAAAAACTCTTAAAATGTCTACAATCAAGCTCAGCACTTCTTTCTGAATTCAGCCTTTCGTTTCTCCTTGCTTACCTAGCTTGCATATGAGATGCACTGTGCCGTTATTACTGCAGTGGGAAGGGTCTAGGTTCACCAGGAATTTAGGATTTAATCTTGCAACTTCCCCTTGTAAGACATTTGGTATGGTCTGTCTTTCATCCTCTTCATATTTCCGTTTTCGAGAGGAAGGAACGGGGGCTCTATGTAAAATACAATCCACAAAAGGCCTAGGTGAAAATGTTATGCCAGCACTGCATTTGTCAAATACTTTACACGTGTAAAAAGCAAAGATAGAACTCACACCCACCCATAAACCCATCTGTTGTTTTAATAGTTTCTACAAATAAATATTTTTTTCCTTAAATAATGAACAATTAAGGCAGACAGTAGGTCAAGGATACATACGTGATCGGTGGTCCGTGAATTGCAGTCATAGCTGGCATAAATGTACGGTAAAGGGAATGGTTGAAGACTGGTGAACGGATGTTGGCCAAAACAGCATCCAAAAGCGGCTGACACAAGTACTGCTGTTTGGTGGGAGGCACTGGGGGAGGCGGGGGAGTAGGCTAAAACACAAAAGAAGCCCCTTTTCTTTTAATTATCACCAAAAAAGAAGTCTCTACTACTGATGCCACAAAATTTTATAGCAGTAGATTTCCAATGCATGAAATGCAAAGGACTCTCAAATCTGCATACAGGAACATTAAGGAAAAAAAAGAAAAGAAAAATTAAAAAAAAAGCCATCCGCAGGTTTCACTTCAGAAGTCTGTCCTGCAATCAGCTGCAGAAGTCCACAGACAGAATTGCTCAAGCCTTTGCACAAAACACAAGAATTTGAAAGTTCAGTTAACAGGTACATATGGGTGATTCATGTGAAGTAAATGCTTGCCCATTTTTTTCCTTTTCTCTTATTTTGTCCAACCTTACTTGAAGTATTAGCAGCATGAGCAATGACAAATGCAAAAAATTACCTTCCTGTATCATAAGACCTTTTGGAATTAATTGCTTATCTCTTGCTAGCACAAAGCACTACATACCACAGCCATATCATTTTTCAGCTTCTCTAGAGCAATTTCGCATTTCTGCAGTGTCTTCAGAGGGCACCTGCAGAAAAGGGAGAAATTTCATCACCACAAAGTGGTCACCTTGGCTGAAGTGTTTGTTATCTGAGCCCCACAGACAGCCCCAACGCCAAGGTGGCTGGATGCTAACCCACAAATTTCTGGAAGAGCTGGGAGAGGTGATGCCCAGCCAAAAGGAAAAAGAGTTACCGTTTTGAAGGATCCGTCAGGATATCCAAGAGACTCTTCATTTTACTCAGGTCCTTCTTCCTGTCTGAAATAGTATCAGAGACACAAACACTGACGACAAGGATAGCTTCCATACTTGCAGACAGAACTACAGTATAGTCAGAAGTGAAAGCATGAGCTAGCACTGAAGAAAGTAGTGAGGATCAAAGACCTTTCATCTAATCATAAGTATATCCACTGTGTAAGCAATATCTGTCTCAAAAATATCGTAAGTAATGGAAAACTAACGGGAATTTAAGGATGAGGATTCTACCTCTCCTCACAGTAAAATCTTTACAATTACAGGTAAGAAAGAACAACTAACTTCCACGTTTAATCCCTGGAATAGAAACCATCACAAAAGGCAAGGTACTGCTTCTTTCTTCAGAGGAGACAGCTGACAGAGAAATGCATGCCTAAATATAGGGAACCTCACCTTCATTTTTATCTATTTTATTAATCATCCTCCGGAGTGGCTCAATGTATTTTGACAGCTGTTTGAGTTTCTCCAGATACTGTTGCTCCTCTGACTGGCTAGAGCTGGCTGGACTCATGACAGAATTTGGATTTCCTGGCAAGAAGTAAAGACTGCATGTCACGGGGATGATAAAAGGTAACTGCAGAACAGCACTCTCACATTTTGGAACCCAGATCCGAAAAGTGGCACTCTCAAGGTGTAGCTCATGTCAAACATCCAAATCCACAGTTTAAGCACTTGTCCAACCCTCTAGTCTTTGTGTAGAAACAGTGTGTTCTGCGGACAGAACAGCAATTCCCATTTAACACTTTTTTTTTTTTTTTAAAGGTTTCCTTCACTCTGGTGCATTAAACACTAAATCAACACACTGAATTTGCTGCAGTTTTCCTTAATTCGGTGCTTTCCAAACTGCAGAGCACACAACACTGGTATGAGAATGAGCCAGCATGTTACTTCCATTCACAGTATCAGAAACTGCTCATTATGTCTAGGAGAGAGAAGAGCACAAGTGTCAGAGTACACCCAGGAAGGCATTTTGGAGCAAAGCAGCCTGCCACCTGTGATTAAGCGGTTATATCCCTTACAATTGCATGCTGTTGCTAAGGGTTCCTTCCTGCACGGAACTAAGCAATCATTATGCCCCATTAAATTAAGTATCATTCTTTTTTCAAAAGATTGGGTAAGTTAGAAAAACCCATTACATAGTTCAGTGATGAGAAAAGAGGTTTCAATGGATCTCGATTTGAGATATCCATGTTGTTGTGTGGTGCATGTGATGTTCGTTATTTGCAATGCTGGCTGCTTTGTAAGAGCTCTTTAAAGTTTACATCATGCCAAACAATAACAGGTTTCCTGGGAACTATTACCAAAACATACCCCAACTCATGGTTTGCAGTATAGTTCTCAGATCATTTACCTGGAGTATTTAAAGGGCCTGGGGATGGGACACTAAAGTTCTGAGGTGTTCGTGCAGCTGCTGGGCTCTGGGATGGTTGTGGAGATGGACTGGGGAGAAAGCTGCTGGGTGACGGAGCTGGGCCAGAGCTGAAAAATAAGCATAAAAATCAAATCTGACGAGGAAGCACGATCAGCCTGTGAGCAGACAGGCTTTTAGTCAGCGCTGTTATGGCACTCTAGCTCTGCCAGTAGAATTAGTAAGGATTTCTTTATTCAAAATAGGGGTTTTCAGAGTGTATTTGGCACAATCCCACCTGTGCTCTCACTGAAGTTGATATTAAAATTCATTCACTTCAAAGGAAACATAGTAAGATATACTGAATGCTTCAGAAAACCTCACCCTTACGGCACTGACAAAGGTCCTCAAAAGTTGCAGTCTAGCTCACCTGACATTTGAATTTGGCTGAGAAGTTGGCTGGCCTGGCTGAGGAGATGGCTGTGGTGGCGGGGGCATTGATTGGGGTGTTTGGGCTTGTTGGACAGGAGATGGGGATGACATCATGGTAATATTGTTCTGGCTGACCTGAAACGTGGAAAAAGAGAACATCAACAACAACAAAAGGGAGCAGAGGATGGGAACCTAACTAAAAGGCTTTACCTACGGAGAGAAGCGTATCCTCAGGCCTACAAGAAATGAAAGTGTTAGTTTCCTGTTCTCCTCCATAATGACAGTCCCACCTGTATCACTCTTAAGGCTCCCAGGGCAGTACTTCATATAAATGTTACTAGAAATAACCATTAAAACTGCACACAATTTGAATAACTGTATAATTGTTTTTCATTTCCCAAACCATCATGTTGCCGTTAAAATGTCAGAAGTGCCATCCAAAAACCCTATACTTTATTAGAACTAAAGAAAAGCAGGAAGAAAAGACAGTTCTAAACTCAAGAATTAACAGCCATAAACCCCATCCCCCCCTTATTTTGACATTTTAGTTACAGTCTTCAAAGGTCTGTCAGATTTGACTGTGGCTTCCCAACTGGTTTTCTTTAGGAGGAAGAAAAAAAAAAATTAAATAAGCCAAACCACCACCATCTTGTTTAAATATTCAGCTTTGAAAATCTGAAACACTCCAAACTGCATGGCTGGGTAGGAAAAAAAATGAAGTAGCTTTCCGACCCTTGGAGAATGATAAGGTGTGCCTAAAGGACAAAAAGACAAATAAGAGCATTTCCAGAACAGCACCAAACTCTGAGTAACAACTAAGTTTATCCTTTACACCCTAAAGTGCCAGAGCCAGATGATGTCAAATTAGAGCAACTTCTCACATTTGTTCTAATGGACATTATTCCCCTTTATCACTTAAACCCAAACAAAAAACCCTGTATCATGGCCAGAAGCATGGTCTAGTAAAGCAGATATCAAGTGATCATGGTTGTTTAAGGCAGCACACGCAGAGTTCATATGACCTGAGGCTACAAGTAAGTACATACAGAGATAAATTGAATTAGCCCACAGAGGCCACATACCGTGACTCAGTAACCCACGCCTCCATCCTGTAAGTCATTGATTAGCACCTTTATGAATTAACTTTGTTTCCCTCAGTCTAAACCATTTTTAAGCAAAGTTCCCAGCAAATCCACAAGTGCCACACACTTCATGGGTACTGCAACTTGGTCTTGCCCTTCATTCACTCATTCAATATCCATCTAAATCACCCAGCTGGTTCCAGAGGACATGATACCTAGCATATCAAAAAGTAAGTATTGCATAGCCTAATTTTGCATGTACACACTGAATATAACAGGAAATGCTCTGCTTGGAGCATCACATGACCGCTATGCAAGAGGTCACACTACTAAAAAAAAAAATAATGGGCCCAAACAATCCCCAGCTAGGTGCAAATGTAAAACTACTAAACTTGAAGACAGTATGTTATTATCCATTAACACATACTTTAAAATCAAACACAGCCTGACATACTATGACTTTTATTTTTTTTACTCTTCAATAACTCCATTACCTTTGCAACTTCTCCTACAAAGATAACACCTAGAACAAGTGAGGCTGAAGTGATGTTTTAAATCAGCTATTATATCTTCCTTTTCTCCATAATCAACACTAGACTGCGCTTACTGTTTTTCACAGGAGGTGGATTCCTTAACAGCGTGTGTCTCATCAACAGTTGGAAAAGCATTTCTGATATTGAAATAGTCTGCCTCCCACAGAAACCAAGCATCTCACCACTGTTTGGAAGGATATGACGATGAACACTGCAAAAAGCACTCCCTGATATTTTTAAAATTCTATTAAACAGCAAGTGATTTAGAACTTACCCATATAGATGCTGAACCCATTTTTCACCAAGTCAAACTAAGACCACTTTTGAGTGGTTCATCATTTCCTGAAAATCAATCCCCTTTTAAGTGTCTCAAGTTGGTTACATAAAATGACTTCTGAAAACTTAAATCCTTGTTTTGGGAAGGAAGGAGAAAGATTTCATTAGGTTTTCTGCCAGATTTAAGCTTCTGTACCTACTTCAACACCAAGGTCCATTCACATTAATTTACAAATGTTGCAGAAAAGCAAAGAAAAGAACATGCAGCAATGCAGCATCTAAAGTGCACCTAAGCATAGAATGAATTAGACCCCTTTTTGCATTACCCCTTCTCATTTAAATCTGTGCATAGGCAAACAGCTTTCCTTCCTGCAACAGGTTTGCCCTCTGCCAGCTCCATTTCAGAATACCAAAGGCTAATGTCCAATATTAAGCAAAACTGCAGCATTTTCAAAAACACGCACTCAAAAATATGCAATTCTGACCTTACTGCCTCACTTTTCTTTGAAAGCAGTTAATTTGCTACATAATAATTTCCAATGTCATCTATACAACAGATCTAAAGATGCTTTCACCTTCAGATTTCTACGTTGTTTGCAGGATATGGATTAAGATTGTAACAACGTCATGAAATTTCCACTTCTAGGGAATACTCTTTCCAACTGACTCCCACTAAAAAGAAGCCTTAAAAAAGCCCCACAAAAATACCAGTAAACCCAAAAGACAAAAAGCCCTCCCTCTGGAGCTGTAACTCTATTAAACTCATTTAGCTCCTCATTTAACTCGAGTTAAGCCACGGTTACTGACCATTTGTACACCCTTCATCTTCAACATACATAAGGAAATGCAACTACACATTTTTCACCGCAGGATGAGAGCCGCTGCATCTACAAGCATATCCATGCACAGCTATCACAGCCCACTGAACCTGAATTCACTCTGCGGCTCTACAGTGACCAGATCATGACACCAAGCCCTAATGTTCTGAAGCCTTGCCCATAAGATATTTACGCTTGCATGACAAAAGTTTGCACTTAATATCCACTATATCAAAGCTACTTAGAGCACACCGTCCTGAAAGATAAACTTAGCTACGAGGCCTACCTCCAGCTTGCCAAGTCTCAGGCAAACACCAGCACTCAGCAGACAAAGCTAGCGAGAGTTTTTCAGAAGCTCCCAGTAGCAAGAGTGCACAATACGCAGAAGCTAGGAAAAGGAGACTGCAACAAGGAAGTGATGGGTAATAATGAGGAACAGTAGAAACACTTTTAGTCTAAAGGGAAACTCTAGAAAGCATTGACACTACTGTCCTCACAGTTTCAGCGTTAAACCAGCAAGCACAGCCTTGCCTACTCCGTTGCAAACTGGGTTTAAAGTTCACAGTTACGCTGCTTTACGTGACAAAATGGAAACTCTGCAGAGCTTCAAATAAGTTCAGATACAGGTTCCCACATTCCCAGTCACCCCTTGCTTTACTTTAATATTAACTCCGTTTCACTTTTTTCCCCCTATATTTTCAGTTTGCTGGATTTCTGTGCCAACAATAAATTGGAAGTTCATACTATTGCAGACTGCAATAAATTCGTAGACAGAACTTGGAGGCTTTGACACTAGAAACACAGTTTGTATTTGTATTAGCACATCAGTTAGCTTTTGCTTTAGCAACTACGTAAGTATTAGATTAATATAATCTTTTAAAATTTCAAGATCAGCAGGTGTCTTGAGCCAATCCAAATATGGTATATGAAACTTCTCTTAGCTGTTCAAAAAGTGCCACTAACAATGATTGTAGTTCACGTTTGGCAACTATTCAGACACAAACAAACTTCAGCTAAGAAAAAAAAATTCTCTGGCAATTCAAAAGACCAAGAGATTGTGGAATACAATGCCACATCAGTAAATATACTCTTTTGATTGAAAAGACTGTAATAGAAAAAAAAAAAAAGCCAATTAAACAGAAACAACCACTGCAGAATCAACTGAGCCTCATGATAAAAAAGGGACAGACTGATATTTTTGTCACGTGGGGTAAAAATAAATAGCCACACAGTATTGATATCACATCTGGTCCTTTTGTTGGAAGAGATTCTTCAGTTTAGGAAAGAACCTTCAATACGAAGATTCTTTCCTAAAGAGAAAAGACACTCTGAACTACCTATCACCAAGTCTAAATGACTTTAATACTGTAGTCAAGTAGATGATAGACTCAATAACCAGATATATGCTAGAGCCCTTTACCCTATTGTGAACAGCTGGAAGGACTCTGATGACAAGAAAGTCATAACATATCCATCAGACAAAACTGTTTAACCATTTAATGAAATTAAGAGGCATAAATTGTAACATTTCTAATTTCTAATCTACCTGGAACCTGAACAAAAAGTTTTGGCAGACAGCACTGGAGATTCATGCTGATCCAGAGCTGTCACATATATGGCATGTCAAACTGGCTTTAAAAACATGCTTCCTGCCACCATTAAACCATGACTCGCTCACTCATCCTACCTCCTGCTTAGGAGCCATTTTCACTCCAATCCATTGTTCATACAGAAATTTCCTTTATTCTTCTGCTTCTCTAGTTGTTCAGTCTTCTACATCATTTTCACAATCCTTAGCATGCTACCTTGATGACCAATTCAAATCAAAGCTCCTCAATAACCAGACATGACAGCACTAAAAGATCAGCCTATGGCACTGAATGCTTAGACTAGAGGTCTTTTGTTACGACTCAAGTATTAAATATAAGCCAATCTAATCCTTAAACACCTATTGGAAGGCCTCATTGTCAAACCAAACATCCCGAATACTTCATATGGCAGATGATTGTCTCAGTTATATATAAACTGCTACAGTGAATAAAGCTCAAAGTAAATTCTCCTCTGACTCAACTAAAATAAAACCTAAGCATAGCTGTTAACGTATAAACAATGACCTGGATTGAAATGACCATCCATCCTAAACCAGAAACAACCAGACCTAGCTGTTTGCCTAGGTCTGCAGAATCGGTCTGGTCACTGTATCTGCCTTGGCAAATTCCTGAGAAGAAAAGGCTGTGCCTACTAAACTTGATGCAGCAGCACTAGGAAGCAGAGTTTCAGATATTCCACAGCCCCATGACAAGCTTGCAAAGAGCGGAGACACTTTCATTCAACCTAAGAACAAAACGCAGCAGTATTAAGAACTAAAACTGCACCTGGTATTAAATTTGAAAATTAAGATCTAGAAGAACAAGGCATGAGGTTCACGAACAACAGACAGAAAAATGCAGTTGAATGCTATTCCACCATCATCATATGATACGTATTTAAACCAACAGTAAATAGGGCTCAGCAAACTTGAGCAGAGCAGTGCCTCATTTTGTGACGTACTGGTAAGAACCCAGTTCTATTTCATTCTGGTTCTCCCCATGCCTGCTCCCCCCAGATGACACATTTTTCTTGCAAAACTCGACTGTGAGGTCTTTAGCAGGTCCGCACCTGCACCAGGCAGATGCAGTACTCTGACCTCACATATCTTCCAGCAACAGCTGGGCAGGTGCTGCCAGCCTGCCTACCCAGGATCTTCTCTGGTGCAGGTACAAGTGGAATCCTTCTGGCAATTCCTCTCACACAACCATGAAAGAAAAGAACAGCTCCATTTCTTGGTCCCTGGTACCATACCAAGAAGCTACTCAAACTGAAATGCGCCAAGTTTACTATTAATGAAAGCAGCACCTGTACAGACCATGAATACATGATAAGTAAGGTCCCAGACACAACTCAGCCAGGACACTGCAGTACTGACTTGCAACACTCTCATAAATGCACACCCATGGAGTATGGACAAAGACTAAACAGAAACCACAAAGCTCTAATTTGAGACTTGAATCAATTCTAAACATGGAAACGATTTATGTGTTAAAAACAAAGATCTACGCTGCTTTAAAAACACTTTTGATACCCCAAGCTCTCAGAAAACCTATTATTTAAAATGCAAAAGGATCCATAAAAGAACCTAAACAGCCCAATACCCTGAGTAACACCAGTAAGTCAGTCGTTTGATGAAAAAGTGAACTTCCCCTTGCTTGAAAGCAAGCGCTACACAATCACGTATTGAATGCTTTGCACAATTCCTGACGCAATGTGCTTCGACTCAGTAAATACCTGTGGCATTTGCTGTCCGCCCAAAGGAATGGAGCTTGGCGGTGTAGCAGACACAGCGGTGGTAGGCGGGAACCGTGGTCTTATTTGCATCCCACCTCGGGCCATAGGTGCGGTGATCATCTTTGAGGACAGAGGGACAACAGACAAAAGTAATCGCAAAACAAGAAATGCAGTGCACTGGCAGGATGAGAAGCACATGCAACCTCCAGGAATTAGGGGGAGGGGGAGCATGAAGGGAAGGTTAGTGAGCTTTTCTCTAAAGGTTAACCTAACATGCTAGCTTATAAACCAAACTCCCTTTTATACTCTTTCTATCCATTTTCAGACAGTATCTAATGAACTCTAGGTATCTTGAGGGAGCTGATATAGAGAGTCAGATTCATGGGTCAAGGGTTGACTACGTTATCCTTTGCATCGAAGGCTTTTCCTAAATTTTGCCTGACTTTTTGAATTTCTAGAATTCTTGGAAATAAGTATTCTAAGATTGTTGTCAAGAATGTTCTATATAAGAAGTTATATAATGTGCTTTTCCCCACCATGGACTCAAAGGATTTAGCAGTATTTGCATATGCTGCCCTTCATTATAAAAGAATCTGGCAGGCAGCTCAACAGCAACTGTCGGTAGGAATGCTCCACAGTGAGCAAAACTTCAGACCAACCTAACCTATGACACTGCAACAATGCCAAAGACAACAAAAAGGACTTACGGGTTTGAAAAAGCTATTTCCTTCCTCTCATAACCCACTGAATAAGTCAAATATATCCTTGTAATTTCCATCATTTTGACAAATACCCTTTCCTCTATTACTAAGCTGTGCTGAAATATTCTGTTCTGAGTCCATAATCTGCATCAAGCTTATTCATGTACTATTTGGTTCTCTAGATGTATAGACTGAGCACACCCTAAAGTACAATCATTTAGGACAGATGATGAAGGTTAGCAATAGAATGGATTTGTATTTTAAAATAGTATTAGGACTATGCTACTCTGCAGTGTCCAGAAGTACCTTCCAGAGCCATCAGCCTGCATGAGCCACACAGATTTAACCATATATATCTGTATAGCTCTCTGTTACTTAAAAGTTGATATTACTCCATATATGCTGAGAATTTACAGCAAATACAGCATCTTTTTGAGGTAGTTTTGGCAGATTCACTTACCAGTAAAGGAGCTTCTGTTTGGTACTTCAAGGACCTACAGTAAAGTTCTCTGGGCTACTTTTTTTTCCAGCATACATATTACCAAGGAACCTACACAGGCCCTAACTAACCTACAAGTTAATGAAGTCTCCTTTCAGTAAATGTTTGGGGGCATTCTTGCTTAGTGTTCTATGTAAATGGACTGAAGCAGCCAGCAACATGTCTCTAGAGAGTCAGAGAATGCATGTGCTTACAATTGTTAAAAATAAAATTAAATACAACATAGCAAGACGGAAAAAGGAAAGCAATAACTGATAAAGAAAATAGTGTCAAATTCAGCACAGCTGTTAGTTCACAACATCAGAGCAATGTAGTCCCTTTCCATCCAGGCAAAGAGGGATGGTCAGAGACAGGATTTCAAAAAGGAAACAAATGAGAGCGTTTCAGACATCACACACACATGCACGTGTACATGTACGCACACAGCATGCAACAGCCACCACAAGCAAACACAACAACCCAGCACTGGCACAAAGCACAGGTGGATGCTACAAAGTGCAGTGAAGAGCTACAGTATCAACATGAGAGCTGGTGAAGCAACACAACCCTAACAAAAAAAAAATCAAAAACAAAACCAAAAAAAAAAACGAAAAAAGGAAATTGCTAGGAAAAACACCCAAACATATCCTTCCAGGCACAATCACCCCATCTTAGACCCTCGTGAATGCACATGGATCTCTGGAGCGTGTGAAATCCCAGGGATGTTATGGTGACCCACATGTCCCATCTTGATCCTGCTTCTCAGGCCACACCACCAAAGTGTGAGGATTTAGATTACCTCCTCCGAGGCCAAGGAAATTAGAGGCATATTCACAGGTCAAGTGTCTGGCAAACCACTGAACACCAGCGTGACAAACTCCAATTCGAAGGCTTTCAGTTGTTTGTGTTATTGTGGCTGGTCAAACATGTATGCACATGCACACAACTTTGGGTTTGATTTTTTGGTGCCTTTTTTTTGTCTGTTTTGAAATGTCTGCTTTGGAAAGGAAGTGTACATATAATATTGCATCAATTCCACTCTCTTAACAAAAGTAATGTATTTTTCCCATTCGCCAGCTGATTTACATTTATGAAACCTGTGACCCTTTGACAAAGGAGTCTGGAAAGAGGGTTCCAAAGACTGCATCTATTTCATGCAAAGCAATATATCCATGAAGGAGTTGTTCTTGTCAGTCTAAAAACAGAAAACAACCAGAAGTGTTCAAGTACTTTTGAACAAGGTTTAAACTGAAGGCAAATCCTCCTCCACGAGTGAAACTGATCTATTTCAATTTTTAGAACACAGAATTTTACCCCATAAAAACAGAGACAAGCAGAGGAAGAGTCTCCCTCCACTGCAAGATAAAAAACCCATTTGATAAAAATGAAGTGGAATATAACAATTAGAATCCTGAACCTGTAATTTTATTTCAGCTAAAATCCAAAAATTCAGAATTCTGTAAATACGCAGCTTCTGGTGAGCACATGTAAGTACTGTGCCACTGTCACTCCACTAAAGGCAGCTCTGATTTTCAAAGGGCAACAGCCAATCTGCATTCTGAGCGCCTGAAGGAGCTGCACCAGAACAGTGATTTAAACTCCAGTTGATTACAGATTTTCTCTTGGTGCTGCAAGCACTTCTTTAGCACTCTGTGGTCACTAGGACACATTTTATTCACCAGCTTCACCTGTGAGTTACATGCTTACAAGGACTAGACACCCAAGCAGGGTAACATTGACCTGCATGATGTCTTTATGACTTCAGAGAAGAACCTCAAAACTCACATGGATCCACATTTAAACCTGGGATTGCTGTTACTGCTATGTAGGAAGGATGAACAGAAACTTTACGTAAAAGGAAAAACACAGCCATATCAACCAAAATTCCCAGTTTGAAAGCCCATAGAGACTAAGTTTAAAGGTAATAAGCAAAGATTAGGATAGGCTTTGTTTATAACGAAAGCTTCCCTGAACCAAATGAAGAAACCAAGGCAGATTTACTAAAAATGCTGGTGCTAGTGAAAAATGTACTAAATATAAAGCAAAATCTACTCTTAAAAGAAGCTTCTTGTAAGTTAAAGAAAATCCATGTCAACACACAAGCTGCATTGTAATACTGTACACAGCCACAATCTTAAAACGAAGTATTATACTAAAAAAATATTTATGCACGTACAAGAAACCCATTTAACTATTGGACTTCACAGCACTAAGTGAATTTCAGTAGACTCATATTGCAATGGCATGAACATAAATGCAGTGAAGTCTGCATGTGGAGCTTTCTAAGCTCCACCTGTGATAGACAATGAGCAATCCCTGAGTTTACTACACATCTGAATAAAGCTGCAATACAAACCCCACTGTCAAACAAATCACCCAAAACTTTTCAAATGCACCGTGCTGTTAAGCCACTGGCATATGAATTCACTAAACAGGGCAAGAATGAAGTGGACTCTACATAAGCACAATCCATCTGCTTAGGAGTTGAAAAGAGCACCATTAAGTTAGTAAAATGAAAAAAAAGTCAGTCTCCTTCCAGTCAGCCTAAGTCCCTGCAGCTCCCACCTGGAAATTATTTAAGAAACAAACAGAAGTTTTAGTTCACATTTCAACTGTAGAAAGAATTCTGCATTGCTGCCAGTACTGTACCAATTGTACTTACCACTGCTCAGCTTTTACATCCTGTGTTATGTTGACACAGGCAAAAGGACCAATACAGAAACAAAACTGAGCCACCAACAAGGATGTGGGCCACCAGAGTTATAGTGCAAGACACTATTCCCAATATAAGTCTGGGAGATGTATGCTGAAGAACCAATTATTACCACAGTCCATGTAAAGGGCTTCCAAATTTCTTATCCAATCTATAATATTACTTGTGCACTGAAGGGAAAATGGTGCATGCAGACATGGAATGTCTGGGTACACGAAAAGAACTCTGCCATTAATCCTAGTCAACCTCATTTCATCTGTCTGCCTCAGTCTCTTCATCTATGAAGTGGTGACAATTGTACTTACCCATGTCTGTAAAATGCCTCAATATGAAACACTACAGAGGTAAGCCACAAAAGACTATTTCATATTCTTGTGGAAAATGGATGAGAGGTTCAGCTCAAGCCATTCCCAAGCTTTTTTCCCCATGTCTCCTTCATACCAGACACATATCAAGGAACAATCACTGGGGCTACAAGTGTATTGCAGGATAAGAAAACTGTGTTAGACAATAAGCTTTCACCCAGCACTTTTTTTTTTTTTCAAATGTAACTCTGCACTTGTGACACGTGCCATTTTTTCTCCACAATTCACATCCAGAACAAGAGCAATCTATATCTACCACCCATTTCACTCAGAAAAAGAACGAAAGATGAAAGGAATGAAGGGGAAGTGCAGACAGATTTAATTGTCTATGCTATTATTTTATGGTCGATACATGGAGATGGAAAGTAAACCACATGTGAATAAAGATAGCAGGCAAAGATCCACAGTACAGAAATCTGTTTACACACCAAAGCAGTCACCTAAGAAAGTTTAACGAAAGAAGAGATGATACACTCCAGGTACCAACAGTCAGACTTGTAGTGTGACCACAGTAGGCCGTCTTATTGATGTGCATTCCTGTGTCAGTACAGGCAACGATCTTACCTACTCAGGACAGAGAGCATGCACAGAGAGATTGTCAACGAAATCCTGCCTCTGACTCCAGGCAAAGGAGAAACAGCATAAAAGACCATATCCCCATTATAAAGGGCATGACCGATGTCAGACCCCTCATCAGAAAGCCACCAGAAACCCATCTCCATGCTCACCTCTAGCATGCACTTGCTACAGGCCTGTAACTAGTGATACTGGCTCCTGGGCCCTTACCTGCCCTGAGGCTCCCATCTGAGCAGCTTGGGCCTGAGCTGCTTGCACTGCTGCCGCTGCCTGCTGCTGCTGGACCAGCTGAGCTCTTACCTTGAGTATGAAAAGAAAGAATGAAGTAAACATAGGTATCTGATTAGGGTATGACACTTCTGTTTCAACTATATTGACTATACTCATAAAAAAGAGTGTGAAGACAAGATCAGCCTCACACACATAATCTTCCTAGAGCTTCTGAGCTTTCTTTGTGAAAACACATGCCCATGTTTCCAACATTTAGAACAGTCTACCCCTAGACTGTGCACCCAGGATTCAATTTCTTCTTGCAACTTCTTTCCTGTAATATCAGATCCTCCTATGACTATACTAGATACTTCACTTTCTGGAAAACATAGTTAACGACACAACCAGGTGCTGATTAAGCACCTACCAATGACCAGCATTTCAAATACATTATGACTGTTAGTGTGATGTACATGACATCTAACTACTCCTGGCTTAGCTGGTAGGAGCCAAAGCGGATGTATCAACTCGTCCATGCTGGGTCAATAATTTCTCAAGCGTGGCTGACACTCCACTGCTCCCCAGCAGGGCCCAAAGAAAAGTGGGCCTTGGGATTACGTCTGAGCTTTTGCTCAACAACACATATGGAACCCAGAAAAAAATTACTGTAATGCAACAGTTCAAAAAGCTGTACCATTAAGGGGATGGCCCAGCAAGAGGTTCAACAGAGTAAAACTACTGTCTTGTCCACATGCTCTTCAAGGCAGGAACTACCAGTAACTTAAACTTTGACCAAAATCTCTAAACATGGCAGCAGAAGCAAAGCCAGCATGCTAGAGAGCCAACACTAGCTCCAGTCACATGCACTAGGCACTTCAAAGCACTTGCTCATGTTCTAAAACAGCAAACATAATGGAGGTGACTTTTCTTTAGCCAAAGTTCATTTCTCTTCCTTTTTTTTTTTTCCACTTGTTCATTCAAGAGTAAGACAAGAAATTATTTTTAAGTCTGAGCTGCAGTAAATGATTTTCACAGACTTCCAGAAGTCCTACTCTTACACACAAAACTGTTCTCTACTGGCAGGCCCAGACATAAACCTTTAAACTCTCCATACTCATAACACACTAACTAGAGATCTCTCAATAAGCCATGTTTTTTTACTATTTCATTATTAGCAAAAGTCAAAGAATTTTTTTTTTATTTCTCCATAGGATTATAATGAGCCAACAATCAGCTTGTCACTAGCCCTTACCTGCATTGCTTTTAATTGCTGTGGTGTAAGAGTAACAGGCATAACCTGACTAGGAATTTGTCCTGAGATTGCCTGTGGCTGAGATACCATGGGCTGGGGTTGAGGCTGGGATTGTGGTGGAAGCTGAGATTGTTGTGCCTGAGCAACCTGTTGTTGTTGCTGCTGCTGCTGCTGTTGCTGCTGCTGCTGTTGTTGTTGTTGTTGCGCTGCCTGCAGCTGCTGCATTTGGGCAATTCGCTGCAGTTGTTGCTGCTGCTGTTGCTGCTGTGCCTGTTGCTGTGTCTGCTGCTGTTGTGCCTGCATAGCCTGCGCTGCCTGCAGCTGCTGCATTTGGGCAATTCGCTGCAGTTGTTGCTGCTGCTGTTGCTGCTGCATCTGAAAAGCAGGAAAAGCCAGGATGCTAAGGCTTCCAGCAATGCGATAGCAGCCTTATTTCTACAGCATAAACCAAGAGCAAACAGAATCCTACTAACATCAGGCTGAGGTTTTAAGTCCAAAGGGAAAGCCCAACCTTTTTATCCACTCACTCTTCATATATCTCAACTCTACACAGTGCACATCCCGTGGTTTCAATATCACGGGCTTGTCTTGCTTTGCTAAAACAGTTTTCAAAAGCAAAGATGAAGTCCATCAGCTTCTCCTGTACAAACAGGCTCAGAGGCACTTCTTCGAATGTAACCAGCCTGCATCAACACCACTATTTACCAGAAACTGCACAAGAGCACGACAGCTGAAGTTTCCTCTTCTGCTTTTGTGCCTAAGGATGACACAGATGATGTGCTCAGTACACATTTTTTAAAGTGGCAATGTGTAATTCACGCAACGACAAAACAGCCAGTACTTCTACAGTAATACAAGTGGTTTTAGTTCTTTCCCACATCCTTGTTCTTGTTCGAATTAAAGACTACCCTGATGTTTTTAAAGAGAAAGAGACAACGGTTTTAATTCTCCATTGCTGTAACAGGAGAAAGCAACCCCATGACTGTCAAGCCTTTCCTCTGGGACGAAACAGGTTGTTGCCAAGTAAGGCGCCAGTCTAAACTGAAGCCCTACCCTGCAGTGGAAACGCATTACTAATAGGCAGAGACGGCATCCAGTACTTCCATGCAAGCCAAGCCTCACTTGACAAGTAACTGAACACAGATCACCTCAATTGCCATTGTAATTGTTTGTCATCACCTGCTGCTGATTTTGCTGCTGCTGCATCTGCAGTTTCAGCATGTGCTGTTGCTGCTGCTGGACGGCTTGCAACTGCTGTTGCTGCTGCTGCTGCTGCTGGGCTGCTGCAGCTGCTGCTGCCTGCTGCTGCTGGACCTGAAACTGTTGTTGCATGGCTGACTGCTGGGCCTGGAATTGCTGCTGCTGCAAAGCCACCTGCTGCTGCTGGAATTGTTGCTGCTGCTGCTGTTGCTGCTGAGCTATCTGCTGAAGCTGAAGTTGGGCTAAAAAGAAAGTAAACTGTACTTAAAACATGAGACCCAAACCATGCAAGACAAAGCTACCCAGTATAACTCATAATAATTGATGATAATCCCTGAAGTACATTAATATTCTTTGTTAGCAGCATATACTTTTGCTTCCTCAAATGGCATGAGGCACTCTAACAGCAGAACTAATCACAGAATGGTTTGGGTGGGAAGGGATCTTAAAGATCATCTAGTTCCAACCCCCTGCCATGGGCAGGGACACCTTCCACCAGACCAGGTTGCTCCCAGCCCCATCCAACCTGGCCTTGAACACGGGGGCAGCCACAATCTCTCTGGGCAACCTGTCCCAGTGCCTCACTACCCTCATAGTGAAGAATTTCTTACACCTAATCTAAATCTACCCTCTTTCAGTTTAAAGCCATCACCCCTTGTGCTATCATTATATGCCCTTGTAAAAAGTCCCTCTCCTCTAATGACACCTCCTAGTACCAAACTCTAATTCTCACTGCCTATATTGAGTCAGCAACCTAGGTAAAGAATGTAAAAACGTGCAGGAAGAAATACGCAGAGGTCACCAGCAGGAAGCACCACACCCATAGAAAACACAGGTGAGCTCTACAAAAATGAAAGTTCTGAATTTAACATCTTCTAAGACAAAAGCAGAATTTGCTCATACACAGCTAGACTGCTCCTCACTATACAAAGAAAACTTTTATCCCCTTAGGTAGCAGTATTTGAAATCAATTCTTCCTGCAGCTCACTTGGCTGACTTAGCCAGAAGTATGAAATCTCTTCAGCACCCCATCCTTGTGGAAGAGAGCTATGTATTGTAAAGCTGATCTAACAATTTCCGTGGTTGAAACAAACTGAACACTTACTCTGCTGAGTAGCCGTAGAGACGCCAGGCATACCATGAGGGGCCATTCCCGAGGTTCCAGGAGGCTGCTGCTGCCCTGGGAGACTCATCTGTTGTCCCATTGGGCCAAGACCACTCATCCCACTCATCGGTGCTCCTTGAGCTCGGGAAGCCATACCCATCCCAGATGCCCCTCCTTGGGGACCCCCAGTTAGATTCTGCAGGGCATTCATCGGATCTACAAAGAAAAGAATTACCAATATGCAGCCAGCCATGCAACTGCCTCCCCAAAATCCTCTGTTCTCCATCATTCACTCTCCAATCTGTTGGCTTCAGACCATAACCAGATCCAACACCCTGAGAATCTAACATTTACTGCTCTGCCTGCGAGACAAGAGGTTTCTGGCATGTCTTTGTCTCTCTGTAAGTAGAGTGGAAATTACTTAAAGTGCTTCAGTTTTGCAAAGTTCCAAACAGATTCTAAATACATTAGAGAAAAGGAACTTATTAGCCACCTCTGAACATATACGCAAGTCAAAACAAGCTGCCAAGAACAGCCCATGCGTATATCCAGCTTGTAATCCCAAAAACCAAGAAGAGAGTCCCACTGCGGATCCAATTAGCCTCTTCCTCCTGAGGTCAACACAGAGAAGCAGTGCTCAGACCAGAGGAAGTACTTTGCTATACAGTTCACCCCATAACATCAGGTTTATTAGGCAGTGGATAAATTCAGTGCCTTTCAAGACAATCGTCATAATCTGAATCCTGGACACACAGAAAAGCAAAGTCAAAGAGGGAATGGCAATTCAAGAGGGCAAAACACAACACGGGGTGCAGAAGCAATATTAATCAGGTACAGATCGCAACGCTCCCTCTTTCTTAACAGTATTTATAAAATAACTTCCAACTGTCTAGGTTGGATGTTAATCAACAGCAGATGCTGCGTATTTAGCCTATAGGAAATAAAAACAGAGGATCATACTATCTTCCTAACACACACTGCTGTAAGGATTAGCACAGAGACAGAAGACAGGATCAGATCTAACCTCAGTCAAACAGCAGAGTGCATATGCCCGCAAACACGTCTGCTTCTGATGTAACTGAGGAACCCAAAGCTGGTAACTGGGAGAAACCCGAATCGCTCAGCAGGAGATTATTTGCAATCACTCTTGTTCTTTCAAGAATCTTACTGTTGTAAACTAACAAAAATACAAACAGGGAAGCAAACAAGTCTCCTGTGTTACATCCAAAACACTGTCACCCTCATCACCAAACAACTCTGAGACTATTGCACTATCTTTCCTCCAGCAACATTTAATATTCCAGCTAAGGAATCCACATCCTTCTTATTCATAGCACACCGCAGCCCTGATTTCTAACTGTTCTACTGAGAATCACGGGGTGGGGGTGAAGGAAGGAAGGAAGGAAAAAAAAAAAAAAAAAAAAAAAAAGGAGCTCTTACCACTGACTGAGGCTTGAGATTTCTTGTTGTCTGCAAAGGAAGAACAATTAATTGCTTTTGTTAATCTTGTCACACATAAAGTTGGCCCTTCAGATATACTCTCCACCAGAAATATATTCACAGAATAGTTTACAAAATAAAAAAAATCACTGCCTACTATAGTTCTAACAAAACATGTTAACCTAAGCCAATTTGGTAACCAAAATCCTACACAAACAACAGAAAGAAAGCAAAAATACAGGAAAAAAATTAGGAAGGTGGAAAAGTAGTCAGTTTAAATAATTTTGCAAAGACTTCAATTATTGATGCATGTGTAAAAGAAACAGTATTTAGAAACTAAGCATGTATATTGCAGGAACATTTTTAAAGCAAAGACTTGTGAAGAGTCACATGCAGAACCACACATACAAACTCCAAAATTTACTTTTTCAGGGAGGATGGGATAAGCAATCCATTACTGAGAAAAAGAAAACAAAACCAAGCAATTACTTACGAATATCTCGAAAATGGATAATAAGTCTGGCCACAAGAGAAAGATATTCCTCCTAAAGGTGAAAAATTAGTATTTCAGCATAGGAAACAAAAACGATGCGACCATGACTTTCTGGTTCTTCAGCATTCTTCCTCAACGTAACAGATTTTACTTTAAAATGTCAGTGGGCTTTTCAGAGCAGTTCACTTGCAAGGAACAGTCTGTTCATTACCTAACTGAGAATATTTTTACTAATAGGTCATTGTGGTTGATGGTACAAGGCCAAGAAAACACAAAATTCACTGGAAAGAAACTCTGACAGTCACCCTACTAGGATCACAATATGTGAACATAATTATAAAGCAATACATCCACTTTCCACTTCTTATTCACTCAAATTCCTTTGTCTTAAGGACTGAACTTGCTTATTACTTGGTACACTGGCTTACTTTAGTCCTTGACTGTGTCACATTCACGCTACAAGAACTTCTTTTAAGCTCAGTATTACAAATACAAGTAAGTTAACAGCTTTAGAGACTAACATGATAGAAGTGTTAGAAGTGAAAAGCCAAATACTCTTTGTGGCACTTTGTTAGTGTAGTTCATAATGTGTAAGAGAAACTGCACAGGGCTGAGACAGCCTTCCTGCCAGCTGGACACTGAGGATGCCACCTGTGGGCACACATTTGTGCCATCATCAATACAATATTTTCACCAAGACACGTCTTATCTCAAACAGGGCTTGTTTGAATCAGCAATAGTATCCAATTTCTCATAACACAGCTCCAGGAAAGAAATTTACATTTTGCTAGAGTCTAAAATTGTACATGATAACCAAGACTCCCACAGAGATCACCGCACTTCCCCTGGTCTGACTCTTGATATAGCCTTTTCATTGATATCTTAGTCTCCTGACCACCAAACTGGTCATATGGAACGGTGCTACACTGGAAATAAAGGAAATTCTATGCAACTCACTACACACAAGTCTTCAGACAAAAATTAAGTGTGGTCCCGTATATGCATTAAATGCTGCAGCTTCAGCAAAGCTGTCTTGGGCTGAAGTCCAATTCAGTGCATATATTGGATGCAAAACACCTCACTTCCCCTCAGGGTAAAAGAAGCACATATAAATAAAAAATTTTACATAACTATGTACTCGAAGCAGCGACAGTTAACTAGGTGCATTGGGTTTGCTATTTCTGCAGGTTGTTCCAAACTCTTTTGACACCCCAGTAACCTCTGGAAACAAACAGATATGCTTTACCCTTGTTTTGGCCTTCATAAACACATGACTCTCCATATCTTTGCTGGATTTGTTATGGGCAACACCAGCCTTCCTCATGGCATCATCACTGAAAAAGAGAGGAAAAAACAAGACTGGGTATTAATTGAGTACATCAGAAAATAGTTTCAGTCAGTAGTCAGGAAGGTCTGTAAAACAGCTTTTTACCTCTCATTTACAGTTTAAAAAAAGCAAAACCAAAAACAAACCAGAAACCCCAAACAAAAAACACCACATATATTATTTAAAATTGGCACCCTTCAAAATTTCTTCAAAAAACAGAGGAAAAAAGTTATTTTTTCTAAATAACTTAATTTCTAAAACACAAACCAAATATTCTTTGCAGAAATTAAAGAACAACTGCTAAGCAAGTCATTATTTTACTACCCGATGTACTATTTTGACAAAATACCAGGACCTGTTCATTTAAGAAAAGCTGAATGACAGGATTAACATAATCCATGTTTGGCGAGCAACAGGCTTGAGCCTGCCTAGTGTCAGGCATTTCCAAAAGAATCCTCTAAACATAAGGTGGAATAATTAAAAAAAAAAAAAAAAGAAAAATTTAAGAAAAGATTGTCTAAAGGCATAGAGGTTTGACCAATGAGTGAGAAAAAGGAGTGGAAGCACTGACCAGGGGCAGAGAAGAGCAGAGGTGCAGTGATGTGCAGGGCACGGAGGAGACAATCAACATGAAAGCAACAGGTGAAGCAATAAGATGAAAAGAAGGCCCTGTTGATGGAAAATTGAGGGAAAGAAAAATAACAGGTTTGGTAATAGGAAGCTTTCAATTCCCTTACTTTTCTTTCCCGTGTACCAGGCAAAATCATGGGGACTTGCTGTCCTTTCTGCATCACACCTCTAGTAAACTGGATCTAGATCTGCCTTCTGGATGGGATATTGAACACGCAAGATGAAAGAGGGGAAAAAAAAAAGAAAAAAAAAAAGACCCCCACCATCACAGAAAAGCACACTGCTAAGGACATGGGCAGAAAAGAAGGGGCATTGTCAGTACATCAAAAAGTAGCAAGCAATTCAACTGTGAAACATGCAACAAGACAAAGACGTCCTAAACCAAGGAGTTCGGTCAGGTGATCAGCCCTATTCAAATCCTCCAGGCTTTCTCATTCTTAGAAACATTTCACTTTACTGCAAAACCTGTTCTGTTTTAAACCAGCCTAGCAGCTACAGTCTAAATTCCTCAAACAAGTTACCAGGAAATACTTTCACCTTGTGATTAACATCTCAGCACTTATTTCTTAATAACTGCTGTTGCATGAGCAGCTACCCTACAATACGTGCACGTCAAGGTAGTGACCCCTGAAAAGTTTCAGCCAGTCTGAAGGGGGACTACCGTTTTCTTCCCCCTAAATTTCTACCACCTCCCACGCAGCAGGAAAGGTGCTTGCACGAGCACTAAGCTGGTTCAGCTTCCTGAATTAACAACACAGTCACAGAACAGAGAAGAGCAGATGCTATAGCCTTAAAATGCAGGAGCTTAGGCTGCCCCCACACGCACCGTTACCTTGCAAACTAGTAGCCTAGTAGCACACAGCTAACCTGCTGTAGCCTTCAAAGCAGGAGATAGTAGAACACAGCTACCTGCTGTAAGGCTCTCTTGTGGTAACTTGTTCATGTGGTCTAGCAGACACTAAAAAAAAAAGCTGTTTATACATGAAGGTGACTTAAACTGAAGTGGAATCCAAACATAATGCAGAATAACTCTTCCTCCATGTGCCAACAAGCCTTAAAATGAGCTGCTCATAAAGGAGCTTTGCTGCAGAGGAAGAAGCTATATCTAACTCTTTATCCACACTACTCTCTAAATCCTCCATAACTTATCAGTCCCACAGTACAACAGCAATGCCTCTCATTTTGAGCACCAAAAACTGAGCAGGCAAAAAGACAAGAAAAAGATCCTGCAGAGGCAAGTAAAGGAAATAACATGCTGGTGATACTAAATGGCAGTGATACAGTCAGTGATCAATGTGGTATCAGGAATTTGGAAAAAAACGCACAGCAAAGAAGTGATCTACTTTTATATGTGTCTACCATTTCCTTTTGATGTTACAGAACATGAAAGGCATTTTATAATGACTACATCTGCACTACCAAGAATGCCACTCCAAGTGCTCCATATCATATCTATTAGCATTCCAATAAAGGTTTAGGCTAGGGGGAAGAAAAAACCACACAACTTGTTCTTTGTTCACACATTCATCTGCAATCAACATAAAAATATTTACATTAAAAGACTGGGGAGGTCACAAAAAAAAAAAAAGGAGACATAGCTTTAGCACAGAGTTAAGGATAGCAAATAATGTATCATCATATGCTTGCAGAACACCAAACTCAACAAAACTTTGAAAACTAGATGGTACCAGACAACTCAACCTGCCTTATAATCACTTACTAAATGCATCGTAAGATGGGCACTAAAACTCTGCCTTTTTCATTTCATGCAGAACACTCAAAGTTGCAGTTTCACAAGATGAAGCATTCAACACCAACACCAGCTTCAGGAATTCCCCTTCCATTCCCAAGAGTTTTATTTCCAGCCCAAAAACGTGCAACCTTTCACTCAGGCCAGCTGGTCTAGCTGAAAAATCTTGCAAAACACGTTCTTCAAAACTACACCAGCTCCCCTATCCAGTTCACACCATGACTGCATGAATCAGTTGTTCCAGTGAAACAAAAGCACAATGAGTTCCGGGCCCAACACCACATTAAGCCATGTAACGCCACCAAATGCTGCTCCATGAAACAGACTACTAGATCACTGTAACACTCAGTTCAACAGACCTTTCTTGTTTAAAACAGCAACGGAGGGGGGAAAAAAAATTAAAAAGTGTGCTGGTTAAGCCAATAGCCACATCTATCCACACATTACAAGGTTTAAAAACCTCCAAGTAAACATCAACAAATGCATTAAACTTTCATCACTTGATCTTGTGCAGATGACGCTGTTCCACTCATTTCTCTTAGTTACAGATTGGACATAAAAAATGTCATCAATAGCAGCCCTCACTGCAGGAACACTCAGAACATCACAGAAGCAGAAGACCCAAAACAGGAACCACCCATATTACTTTATTCACATTTGCTGGACAGAACACATAAAGGCCTGAAAGGCCTCCATCCCCAGAACACTGCCTTCAGGTACAGAGGGAAAAGTAAAGGACCATCCAGCCTCCCTCAAGCCTTGTTGTAGCATTACCTTTCTTTCCAGCTCCGCAGTAATCAAAAAAACCCCTTTCCACTACACACAGAATCACCCTTCACAGCTTCACAAGCATATGGTCCAGCAGAAGTGATATCAAACAGCAGAGGTGACTAGGCAAGAAGTCACCCCTTCCAAGTTGTGCCAGTACAACTGTCTGCGTGGCTGTCCCACCAGCAACACTGAAGAACAACCAAGGTCAGGAATAACCACTTTTCCTGAATTATTTTTAACTTTGCGAAGTTCCCCTACCAGGTTCAACGCAGGGCAACCCGAACACTTGGAATGAAGAGGTACCGCAGAGGCAGTAGCATCTTCAGTTCATAGTTGTGTCAATTTAAGCATTTCTAAAACTAATCCCGCACTTTCTACAGTCCTAGGAAGGGAGAAACATCTGCCTTCTTGGCCTTTTTTGCCTGAATTGTCATCAGACAACCTAGGCTTGAACATAAAATTAAGGTTTCTTTATGAACTGGTTTTGTGAAGTATTTCATAGACAGCAGTAATGCAGATGATGTTCCTTCCCCACCCCGCAAAAAACTTCAGCTGATCCACTGATCTCCTGCCTGCTTGTTCCTCAGTCTCCATCTCTACCTCCTTTCACGTGCTCTCCACAGGCCCATCTTTATTTCTGTTCACACATGCTCTTTCTTCTTATCCAGCTGAATCCTCAGCTAAACCCTATTCAATCTTAAATGAGAATATAAATATCAAAATTTCAAGCAAAAAGCTGAACACAAAATTAACGGACCATCACACAACTCAACTTTTTTTCATGCTCTACATGATTCTCTTCTAACACAGCCTAGAAGTAGCCCAGGGCAGCAACCGTACACAACCTCATACTGAGTTTACCACCACACAACCCAGTTCACTTTTGTCCTTCAGGCAACACCAACATTTAAAAACATGTTAAGGAAAGGCCTTTAGAAAGGAGAATCCCGAGGCACCAGTACATGCCTGCCCCCTGTAAGGACCAGGATAAAGGGGTGCCTTGCTTCACGCTCCCTACACCATCACTGTCTCCTGCAACAACCTGGGAGAAGCCAAAGCTGCTCCCTGCCCTCAGCTGTCTGAGCTCAGGCTTTCCTGGTTACAGCAGGAGAGTCCTGCTTGGGCCTGCAGTCACACAAGAACCTAATACTGAAGGGGGCTTCTTAGGTCACCAAATGCAGTATTCTCTCAAATGATGATAGCCAAATCATACACACTGACCAATGACACACTTGCTAGGATACCTATTCCACACAGCATCCCTGAAATGTTCATCCACATAATGTCACTCTCAAAAAAACCACCACCCACCCCCCCCAACTTAAATTCAGCGTTGGAAAGGAAACCCAAATGTAAAATAGCAACAAATTAAGACTTCTGTATCTGGAATCTGTAACAAGCACTCAAAATAAGTTCTATGAATGGCTCCATACATTTGAGTTAACTTTTGAGAGCAAGTGTTAATATTTGCCTTGACAAATAAGTACCACTTGCTATTTGCAGGATGAACTGGAAGATATACACACGTATACGACAGAGTATTCTCTTAACTGTTAGGAACAACCTTGCCACAAATTAAAAAAACACTTTCAGATGATTCACCAGATATTTAATTACCTCCCTCTTCCACCTACTACATAAACCTCACTAATGGCAAAACTGGAGGCTTATGGAAAGAAACAGGAACTTGTTACATATGGAGCTCAAGTCTTTTTTAGACAATATATTGCTTCTCTCTCTCATTCAGCAAACCTATCTGTTATAAACTCTACCTGTGGCTAGCTTCACTTTATTCCAAGCACCAACATGAAACCAAGCCAAGCTGTTTTCAGATACCTAGCACATATTA